TAATATAATGTATATATAAAAAATGGGGAGTATATAATTTTGAAATTTTTTATTTACTGTATATAAGAACAACTTATGAGAAACCTCGTTTTAAATTGTTCAGCTTTTTATTRTTTTTAATGTGATACAAAAAACGAAAAAAAATTTTCTTATCGTCGATTATTTACTTTGATATCTTAATAACGCAGGTGTGCAAGAACCGGACTTTTCATTGTATCCAAATGCGGATTTGCAAATGGACTGGCTGAGGTCGTACTTGGAAGAATACATCGGTGAATCGTTGGACCAAAACGATCAAAGGGTGACCGTGCTTAAGGAACAAGTGAACATGTTTKTAATTGCGTCACATTTGTTGTGGATCTTCTGGTCAATTGTACAAGCCGAAATATCTGTGATCGATTTCGATTATTTAAAGTAATAATATGATGATATATAATGAGAAATATAGACATTTAAAGTTCAAAATTCCACGAAATAATTCTCTTTCTAAATTTTATTTATATTTTAAACCCACAAGCAATACCTTAAATTATTTAAATTTTTCATTATTTTTCATTATTTAAATATTTCTTTTTAATTTTCAGGTATGCAGAAATGAGATTAGAACTATACACGAAAGCGAAAAATTCACTCATCTGCAAATGAACCCTTTGTGACATTCCATTAATTTAAAATACTTTCAATTACKYGTTTCCATGTTACCAATATGAGAAAAGGAAATGCTATATAATATATAGTCTCGCGCTTCATCAATAAATATTAAATCATTGACATTAATTATTATTTAAATGCAACACCGCCGCTGTATAGTAGATGATAAACGTCATTAACCTGCAGCAGCAGCACCGTCGCCAAATTTCATCGTAATCACAATATCATATTATAATTATAGTACAAAGAGCTTTCAGCTTTGTTGAAACATAGCACTTGCTTTTGCTTTGAAATAAAATGATCAACATTTTTTCGTAATAAACAGTAAAATAATAAATACATATACCGATATACCTAATAAYATAAATAAAATCTTACATAATAAAACTAGTTAACCGGAAATACTTTGTTAGGTATTGAAAGATTCAGTTGTATAGGTGGTAATATATTATATAGATTTAACATACAATTGAAAGCTTGATGTCAATATTTATAAATTGATATTCAGTTCAAATTATAATGTATTTACGTAATATAGTATTTATTATTTTTAAATTACCACGTTGATAGCTGGTCTCCAACCAAAATTGAATTTAAATGAAAGTCATCGTTCAGCTGCGTGGTATACTCTATAGTTGCAATGTGATGAACTCGAGTTYCGACTAACTCTGCGAAGTTAGATTAAGTCATTTGTTACCAGTACTGAGGTATATATTATATATAATATATGCACTTGTGTCTTATACCCTATGTCATTGATACCGCTATTCAATATTTCAAGTCAGTGGTCACTTTAGCCACTATAACAAGGAAATTACCCTGTGTATGATATCCTGATTTATAGATATTTAATATAAAAATGTATTATTGTTTTTGAAACTAATTAAGTACTTGTTTTTGTTTTAAAAAATATCTTTATACGTATTTTTTTTACTGTTTATTTATTTTCATATATATAATGTAATTATATACCAAGTGTGATGTTATTTGATGTGTATCAAATGTAATAGGTATATATTATATAATGCATTTTTTTGTTCTGTGTGCCGCAATTCCTGTTATGAAAAAATTTAAATTACGAATTGTAACATTATAATATATACTTATTATTTTGTATGTCAAGTATATTCAAATAAGAATATATTAAGATAAAACAAATTCAAAGGCGATTATTTTAATACATTTTAATGTTTTATATTAAAATGCTTATCATCCGTAATAAAAAAATGTGATGTCATCAGTTKCAATATTTTATTATATTTTGAAAAAGTTTGAATCATAAAATAAAAACTTTGTGAAGATTGCAAATATCAACAGTTATTCGTTATTGAATTATAACTAAACAAGAAAATCATTTGATGAGGATTTTGAAATAAAAATATAATTTAATAAAAAGCTTATAATAAAACATTAATTTAACTTTCCAATAAACTTTTTTTTTTAAATACACATAAGAAATCTTGTATTAAATTTAGATGTATAGTGTATTCTTTTTAAGACATATATAAGTATAGTGATATTTTTATGAATTCTTAACATAAAATAATATTCAAATTTTAGTGATTTTTTTGTATTTTCCAACCAATGTGAAAACGATATTACCCGTCTGTACCAACTGTCCAACTAGATTGACTTTCTTACCGGAAAAGATGCTGATGTAGAAAAAAATTGATGCATTTTTGCCGCCTCAAAAATATGGATTGCTAAAAACACA